CTTATCGAATCAGGGTCGATAGAAATGACTTGAGACATAAGATTTTGCTAAATCCTAATTGTAGGTCTCTTGCAGATTTAATCATGTGTATTTTGATTGATAACTTACCAACTAAGGGTTGCATTGTTTTGATTACTTACGCTACTTGTTGATGTGAGTTGATTTGTATATTTTGAGCCTAGGGTATTTCTATGGTAAATTTTAATGTCTAGACATAGCCAAAATACTAGTGTAAATATGAGACTTATGAGAATCATTGTAAAGGATAATTATGATTTTATAGTGATTTAGCTCCCCTTTATATTTTTGTGATCAAAGGGTTGAGTAGTAAAAATGTGTTATATATGTAATTGAATTGTTGTGGTATATTGCAAGAGTCTTTTATAGTTCATTGAATGTGATTTAAAGGTTTGTGTAAGTTTCTAGCACTGGGATAGAAAGTGGGACACTCAAGTTGCATTAATTTAGTAAAAGGAGTGGGTTTGAAAATGGTTGTCCAATTTTTAATTGAGAAATGATTTGCATGTAAAACTAATAATACCAGATAAAATTTGGAAAAAGCCTTCCGCAAACACCTAAATTACTTTATTTAGACGTTAGATAAATAAATGGGGTGTGCTGGAAGTCCAACTCGAGAGCTATTATTTGATAACAAAATTGTTGTCAAATTTATGTAATGCACCATGACGTATGATACAAAAAGTGTGCCACAACTCATTTATAATATGCCGCAATGCATCACTATTATTGTGTTGAAATGATTTTTTTCAATCAAAATACATATGCTTTGTTACAAACATGTATCTCACACTATCATGAACATCTTTTGCTTTGATTTTTAAATGATAAAAATATATTAAAGTATTTTAAGTTTTGAAAACTTGAGATTTCAATTAAGTAAATTTTACAAATTCAGTAATCCATTTGAGTTAGTCCTATTATTACTTTAATTAATAGTAGTTTAACAAGGGTGATCTTACGGTACACATTTAGAAGAGACTGTTACTTGGAGAGTGGAGACATGACGGGAATGATCATCTAAAACTCGAGAAATAAAAAAGTGTTGATGACAGAAAGAAACAATAGACCGACAATAAGAAGGAAGAAACTTCTTGAACAGAAAACGAAAACAACTACAAGAACGAGCAAGGGGGGAAAAAAGCAAAAAAGAGACCGAAAGAAAACACCGATTGAAAAGAAAGAGAAGAACAAAGATCAAGAAGCAGAAATTAACTGCCTAAAGTTCACAAAAAGGAGCCAAGGAAATAGAGAGAGGTGAAGCTCTCCCACCCAATTACTATTTTTTGTTTGACCATTGTATATGTACTCCTAGCAAAAAAAAAAAAACACAGTATAGGTAATTCTAGGGGAAAAAAAAACAATACAGGTAATTTTTTCTTTGGTAAAAGGCAAATATATTAATAATAAAAAAAGAGAAAAATTGTGATGTTGAGATTGTCCCAGAAAATTGCCATTATTTTTCAAGGGGAAATGAAGCGACGTGAATGTTGAGAAGTGGGAATAATAAGAAATTCCGAGCATATAATGTCAAAGACAAAATCGTGGCCACATTTTTTGAGTGAAAGTCGAAGATAAAGAATTCAGATTTGAAGTGAATGTCTCAATTTGACTAATATTTTGTAACATGTGAATAATTTTTTTATAAAAAATAAAATTTAAACCAATTATTATAAGTCTATAGTGAGAAAATGTTTTCCCCACATATATCTTTTTATTAAAATCAATGTAAAATATGATAGAATATTAAATATGAGTATCTCTTACAGTGAAAGTTCAAATTTTAGTCCATAATATTATGAGAAATTGACCCCACTAATCCTTACTAATAAGGAGGACATACTTTTTCCATCAATTATGCTTTCAAAGATTCAAATTTCATCTATATCAATTCTATGGACCGAAACGTAAATTCTTGTTTAGTAATTTTCTTCAAAAACAATATAATCCTTGATAATAAATAATCCCCCACTAAGCCATATTTTTAGATTTCATGTAAGAATTCTGTGAGAAAATTGTTACTTAAACCATATTATTAAGTTAATTATGAGTTGAAATAATTTTTTGTAAATTTAATAACTTATAATTTTATTATATCTCTTATTAAACTATAGGTTGAGCCTTGAGAAAGAAGGAAAAGCAAACAGAAAGGATTATTTCCCAAAAATAGCAGGATAGAATTTTGATAAAACCTGTCTGCCCAAAAAATAAAAAAAGAAAGATAAAACCTCATTTAGGTTTGTTTGTCAACTCCACAAACTATGAAAGCACGAGTCTGTTTTTTATTTTTTTGGCTAGATAAATGAGAGGCATCAAAGAATCAATGGCTCGATTGGTCAACTGCTTCTAAAACTATTACATGAGGAAAGGAGTAGGCGGATTAGGGATTTCGAGGTCTGATTCATCCTTACTTTACCCAAATGTTTTCAATATCATATATGTTTTCTGCTTGAAAACGATTACCGAATAGTTGCATGAGATAGCCCCCAGTAATACAGATCTTGATACGTGTTCCCTTGCAATATCATTAGTGAACATACAACTGTGGGTAAGGATGGAAATTGCAGAAAAAGGAAAAGAAGGAAAAAAGTAATACGTAGTCGCATAATGCATAATCATTAGTATAGATACAAACTATGGGTCAGGAAACATAAAAAATGGAGGAAACGTAATGAGCTTACTGAGCATTGAATACAAGGAGTTCAATGGAGTGAAGACACTTGGGAGATCTACAATCAGCCTCAAAATATTCATCTCGGTTCATGCGGCCATAGATGCAATCTACCTTGACCAATACATGCCATTCTGATTTACTTGCATTAGTGGAGGATAGGAGGTCGAAGTTCATGTTCTCTGAAGCCATAAGCAGCCTGCACACGCGTCGGTAAATAACAAATAATGATAGCATATTAGAAAGAGGAGTATTGGTATTTTGATCAAGTTTCTAAAAAACACGAAATGAAGCCCTACCCTTGAACATACCTGAATCTTTTGCTTCTTCTGCCAGAATCAGCTAAGCAGAGCTTACCCAAGAAGGGGTTCTTTTGCAAACATGGACAACATTGCTGATAAGTATGGGAGAAAGGAAGAATGGTGGGAGCTTGAAGGATTTCTCGTAAAAGATGGAAAGGAACCCGAGCTTTCAATAGTTTAAGGTCGAAAGCACTTTCTCTTACAAATAAGGCATACCTACTTCCGACGGAATCGCCTTATGATAACTGAACAAAGAAGGAGATTTTCTTTAAACACCGACGAATTTTCGTATCTTGAAGATGGAAGAGAGTGTTTCCACAACGCATTGGACTCTCAAACATACTATCTGATGAGAAGACAGGAGGCACAATTTTCTTTTCACGGATGAAGTGGAGCTTTGGCACAGAAAAGTGGAGTATTCTTTTAGAAATAGGTAAATGAGAGTATTGGGTTATGTGGACAGACCGCAGGATCTTAGCTTTTCACAATGGACAATAGAAGACAACAAAGGATAAAGGAGTGTATCTCTCAAATAAGGTACATAATGTTTTTGTAAAGCAGCAATGACATGAGAAATTCTTAAAACGCCGCTAAACTTCTTCCATTTTTGAAAGATATGGAGAGATGTAAAATTTGGTATCTGTAAAAAATTCCAAAAATAGCCTCAGTTATTTTCCATAAGAGGCTACTTTTTGAAAGGTATATAGATAACAAGCTTAACAAAAAGCCCAATAAGTGAAGGCCCAGAGATAATTGGGCTACAAGCAAAGACTTGTCTAAAACTGTCTCTAATGACTTGTCTTTGATGGCTCTGTTTCCGAAAACGTGGCTCATCAACGTCCGCCACTGCGACTCCAATGCCATTCAAGCGCTGCAAAACTCTCTCTCCCTCTCTTTGCCTTTCGCCACTCCCCATGTTCCTGTTTTCTGTCTCCTCGATATTATCAAATAAAAATGTTCAGATTTTTTTCTAAATTATTTTAAATTAATCATTTCACCTTCACATTTTTACTTTAATTATAATTCAATTTTTTAACTTTAATTTATTATAATTTAACTTTTATAATTTTAATTTAATTTTTAAATTTTATCTCTTACAATTCATTTAATTTCAACTGCTTAAGTATTACTTTTTATATTTTAAAAAATAAATTATAAATATTAAATAATATTTATAAAAATTAAAAAGATTTTTTTGACCAAAAATATTAAAAGAATTTAACAATATAAAGTATTGGTAATAAATTTTAATATAATTTTAATTTTTATAATTTTATTTTTAAAAATGTAAAATTAATGTTTAAATGATTGAAATTATAATAACTGAATTATTTTAAAAATTAAGTTATAATTAAGTTAAAATTTTATGATAAAATTATAATTGATCAAAGTTTAAATAAATTATAAATTAAAACTGTAAAAGTTAAATGATTAATTTTTTGAGAATTAGTAAAAAAATTTTTAATCCTAAAAAGAGAGTGATTTTATAAAAAAAATTATATCCAATAATCATTTAAATAAATTATTTATAAATAAAAATTAACAATAATTATTATTTTAAAAAAAGGATTAAAGTATAAGTTTACTCTTAAATTTTTTTAAAAAAATAATTTTTTTATACTAATAAGTGAGGTAATTTTATTTTTAAATTTTTATTTTAAAAGCACCATACACTTTATAGAAGGGTTTCGTTCTCTTTTAAAAAATAATTTAAAAATAAAATTATCTTATTTATAAATACATAGACAAAATTATTTTTTTAAAAAAATTTAAAAATAAAATTATATCTTAACCTTTAAAAAAATAAGCTACACTTTTATTTTAATTATAATTTATTTTACAGTGATCGTTGTCATTGATTGAATGGTCGTATGTAATTTTCTTTGCAAAGTAATTTTTTATTTCTTCGAACTTGAAATGCAGAAAAAGCACACACAAGCCGACACCAGAATTAAAAGGGTGGCCACTATCATTCCACTTCAAGAATTTCTCTGTCTCTCTCTCTCTCTCTCTCTCTCTCTCTCTCTCTCTCTCTCTCTCTCGCGTTTGTCATATTGTGTCTACGGATCCTCTCTCTCTGTGACAGCCTCACCAATCCAGCCTCCTGCATTCCTCAAACATGGCTTCTCTTCTTCTGCCTCTGGCAATGACTCTTCTGGCCTCCATTCCACTTTCAAGTACGCATGTCTTCTTCTTGCTTGACCTAGATTGTCTTCTTTCTGTGTCGTAGTTTGTGTGTGGATTTATATATATATTCGGTTTGGCATTTGGATTATGAAAGGTGGGAACTGGTGCGTGTGCAAAGACGGAAGCGACGCAGTGTTGCAGAAGACGCTGGACTATGCCTGCGGAGCTGGAGCTGACTGTAACCCCATCCGTCAGAACGGACCTTGTTTCCAACCTAACACCGTCAGGGCTCACTGCAACTACGCCGTTAACAGCTACTTCCAGCGTAGGTCTCAATCCCAGGGCTCCTGCGACTTCGCCGGCACCGCCACCCTCACCGCCTCTAACCCCAGTCAGTTCCATCTCCGCCTCTCCCCCCTCCCTCCCTCCCTCCCTCCCTCTCTCTCTCTGCAAACTGTGTTCAAAACTAAATATATAAAAAATTATGCCTGACGCTGCATTTTTCTTCTTGATGGTGATCAGGCACGTCTGGTTGCGTCTACCCTTCAACCGCCACGTAAGCATCCCTCTCCTTGGCTCGCCTTCTGATTCATTGTCTCTTTTAATTTTATCAACTTTATTAGCTTGTTTATTTAATTTAAGGGTACCATTGGTCTTATCTCTTTGAAATGTTTTGATTATGGTCGGGCCTTTACTCTTTAATCACCCAAGAATAAAGTGGCAACTTTACTTTGGGATTATTGGGCTAGCATTCGAATAGATTATTTTTCCTCAAATGAGGTTGGTTTAGGTGGTCTTGTAGCCTCTAATGGTTCGTGTGATGTTTCGTTCTTTCAATTATTTTTTAACTATTATATTCTATATATATAAGGAGATATATTTTGATATTTTACTGTAGGAGCTGATGCATTTTATTCTATTTTTTAAAGATAAATATTCAAAACTTGTGAATTTTTTTTATTTGTTAGAAATTATAAAAATATAAAATTGCACCGCTTAATATCTCTCATATTGTGTAAAGTCTAATTATAGAAAAACTATTAAAATGTTTGGGCATTAGGAAGACAAGCGGTCGGCTTTAGAGGTCCCGTGCCTTTCTTTCCTTTAGATAGTGCCTCAAATATTCTAAACATGGTTGTAAATCAGGCCGAAAGTAAAAGGGTTGAAAATCAGTGTTTTTCTGGCATGCCAGAATACATAATTTGAAAGTCGTGTATCATTAACTCATTATATTTGCCGCATTGCAAAGGAGTGTGGTGGAATTTCATAAATTTTTAGTAATACTTGAAGTGAGCATATATTATATATTGGATAATATTATATATATGCATGCCGAAAATGAAGCTGTTCCGGCGAGGAAAATTCATGAAGGTCCGTACCAATAACTCACCTGAGATACGTCTTTGTTTGGCGTGTGGGAAAACCATAGGAAATCATTGAAAAGGACAGGTAATAAGATCTGGTTTGAACGAAGAAAAACAAAGACTGAACGAGAAAATAAGAAAAAATATTTAACAACAATTTGGTTTGATATACTGTTAAGACACCTCCACCGGTAATACACTTATTTATTAGTAATATTTTTTAAGTTGGGCGTGTTCACATTTAAATATTTGATCTGATTAGATAGGAAAAACCTAGCAAGCCGCTTTTCTCTTTTCCTTTTGCTTTTCTCTTTGTACCTTCATTTTTCATGTTGCTGCCTGCTATGTTATCGTTTGGGGTCCTGGTCCAGCGGATACAAACGCCTGTTCTAATTTGACCAATATTGTCATTTCATCGTGATGTCCATTAGTCACTAGCTATTCATTGTACTTGCTCGCGTCGAAGCAAAGGCGCAGCAATAATTGGGATCCGATGCCTTCTTGTGAAGCACGAGCCTTGTGGAAATTAGATAAATAATCGTTGTTTTGAAAATTTATATAATGATATTTTTAAAAAATTACCGTCCCTGCCAATATTTTCAAAGTCACAAGTTAATATTTTCCAAATTAAATATAATTTTAGTTATTTATCAAAATTATTATACGATTAGATCGTCACCTGCTTATTTTTCTTGATTTGAATTTCTATTTTGCTCCTAAATATATATCCTTTTCCAAATTTTAAGGTTCATATAATTGTTGATTAGTTACAATAATACCCTGTTAGATGGGAAATGATTCTCTTATTTTCCTTTATTTTGATCTTCTTCCAGTTCCTTCCTTTTCAAAATATTAGATGGAAATTTGAATGGCCCAAAGATGTGATCTTTCATAAAATTAGTATTGAAATGACAAATAACCAAATCCAAAGTGCTAAAATTTAATTTGAATACTTCAAAACTGCAGTGAGGACAAAATAAAAAAAATTTATAAGCGATTAAATTTGAAATGTCCAAAATATTAATCTTATGAAAAGAAAATAGGGAGATATGGGGAAGTATTTCTTTGGGCACCAAGTATTATAGTAGGACAACTGTGTCCCTGTTGTTGGGGGTGGTGTTTGTGATGGCATGCCTTTTGCTTTTGGTGTTGTTTTTTGGATCAAAAAAGGTAAAGAAGCAGTCAAAAAGTCGGGGAAGTGGACATTATGAATAACACTGATTGATTTTGGATGTGGATGGTGACGATGAGGCGCATTAACACTTGCTTTCATGACGGAATCTGAGCCTTCTTTAGAAAAAGTCCACAATATTCATGTATTTCTCCAACCAGTTTCCATTTCACTTTAAGCTTTCTTGCTTTCTGAGTCCTTCCTCTCTCGATTTTCCACTTTAAGCATAGTTATATATGTTTTTGGCTTGAGGAATTTGAGAGGATTGCAAAATGAAATCACTATTTTTACGAATTGAGCTCATTTTCGCTTGCAATTCCATTGGCATGCTAAGTATGCCATATTAAACTTAATTAATATTAAAATGTTGAAATAGTAGTAAACATGAGTCCATGTATGAAGTCTCACGTATTCTTTGTTCAAATAAATTATAAGAACACATATGTCAGATTCTTCAAGTTTTGAGTTAAGATAGTGTCATTCTCTTCTCCATTCCTAACAACTCATATTTATATGTAATATTTGATTGGGATGGATTCTAGGTCTTGATCATTTAAGAAATGAATTGGAGATTTGGAGTGATCTAAATTTAGTGGGCTTTTTTTTCGATGGTAACCAGTAATGCAGGCAATACCTCCCCAACGGCAACCACTCCTTCCACTGGAAGTACATCGTCAACCACCACCGGCAGTACAATGCCGTCATCGTCAACCACCACAACTGCCACTCCATACAGTGCGACGCCGGGAGTATTCGGAGGCATCGGTAGTGGGGGCATAGGGCCATCGGCAGCAGGCATGAACTCAGATGATAGTCATGGTGGGCTTAGACTCGTGGACGCTTGTTTCCACTCTTGTGTCTCTGCCCTCCTCTTGTCTCACTTGTTCATGATTCAGCTCTGGAGGGGTTGAATCTTTCCATGCAGAATGAGTATTCATGAGAGTTTGTTAATTAATTGGGGACATGATATCTTCTTGCCTTTTAGTTTCTTTATTTTCTTTTGTTTTGTTTTTGGACTGAGTTTCTAGTTCTCCTACTTACTTGAGGAGTATCTGATGGGCCTTTTATTCTTTACTCAATAGTAGCATAGTTGTATGGTGGTGTTGCTGCTGTTATATTAGTACACTCCTACTTGAGACTTTCTCCCCCATCTCCTTTCTCTGTTTTTGCATGTTCTCTCTTTGCCTTTGTATGTACATTTGGATTCCAAGGTTTGTGCTGTATGTATGTGTGTATGTATTAATTCTATTAGCGTTGGATTTTTGCACCCTAATCTGGTTTTTAAGGCCATGTTTGATCAGACTTCATGGATCCACAAAAGTGTGATGAAGAAAAAAATAAATTACTATAACCTTCTCTAATTCTCCCGTATGTTATCAAAACAGCTCTTCTAAACAATTTGATGTTACTTTTCTATCAGTTATCCTTATGTTAATCATTTTTTTTTGTTTCTCTTCCATTTATAATCAAGGGTGAAAAAGAAGTTAGCATTGTTTTTGCCCTAAAGAAGGCTGGAATGGTAAGCAGGAAATTGATTAATTCTAGGTTTCTTAAGCATGAACGAATTTCGTTTATAGTTTTGGTACATTTATTTCTTTCTTTTTTTTTTAAATCAAAAGATCATTTTGTTCACTTACAAACAGCATACTCCAGCCATTTCTCCGGCCATGCATAGAAACTAACGACAATGATGAGTGCAAAGATGACATTGAACAACATTGATGCTTCCTCTTTGTACTCCTTGCACTTGTCTGATAGCCTTAGACATGTGTATTTAAAGAACAGCTCAATGAGGAAAATTATTTTGAATGTGCTAGTGACATGGCAAATGCACTTTACGTAAAGAATAAGATGTGCTTCATAGATGGGTTACTGCATATGCTGGAAGCAAATTCTCCAGACTTGAACCCATGGATGTGGTGCGATGTTAGGGTGAAAGGCTAGCTAAAAAGTGCAATGGACAAGGATGTTCATTCAAGCGTAAGGTATGCAAAGATTATCAGGGAGATTTAGGTTGATCTTGAAGAAAGGTTTGGGAAAGGAAGTACATCAAGAGCTTATGAGTTGAAGCAGGCCGTCGTAATGCTTTGAAAAGAGAATTCCAATGTACCTACATATTACACCAAATTTAAAGGTCTATAGGATGAGATTCAAACAATCATGCCATGTCTAAAAGGTGTATGTGGGGGTTGCAAGTGCGATATCAAAAAGCAACTAGTGGAGATGAAAGAGAAAGAGCGGCTACATGACTTTCTTATGAGTTTAGATAAGTCCTTTTATATCATTAAAACCCAAATATTGAGTATGAAGCTCGATTGGGTCAAGCATATCACTTAGTGGCAAAAGATGAGCAATAATGACAAATTTTTGCAATGAACAAACTAGTGGCTGAAGTGGTAGCATTCCAAGTCCAAGGTAGCTGAGGAAATAGAAGAGATAGGAGAAAGGAAAGGCCAAAATGTAACCATTGTCAGAAACTCGGTCATATAAAAGACCGATGCTATGAACTCATGGGTTACCTAGCTGAGTGGCCCAAATCAAATAGGGACAAGAAAGAACATGATTGTGGTAATACAGGGCAGAATCAACATGTCACACAAGTGACAACCAATGGCAGTCTCATTTTAGGATTGATGTCTAAACAATTTGACGCATTTATGAAGTACATCAATTGTGAGTCGGGGCCATCCAAGCAAATCGATCAACCTCATGCTAACATGGCAGGTATGATTAACTTTAATGATGAATGGGTCATGGATACAAGTGCTACGAAACACATATCTAGCAATCCTAACCTCCTTGAAGGAATAATGAAGACAATGAACCAACTACTAGTAAAGGTTCCTAATAGTCATAGTGTTCTTGTAACAGGGGTTAGTCAAACAAAGGTCAATGACAGCCTCCATCTTGACAAAGTTCTTCATGTACCAGATTTTCAATCCAATCTTATTTTCGTTAGCATACTATTGAGACAATATCATAACTACTATGTAATTCTTGTGGGAAATTTATGCTTAGTACAGGATTACAGGTCAAGGAAGCTGATTGGGATGGCTGAAGAACTTGATGGGTTATATGTCTTAGGGTCAAGGCTCAAGTGTGATATAGCGATGCTAGTAAAACATTTAAATGACCCTCATTTATGGCACCACAGACTTGGTCATCCTCCTGAAGAAAAGATAAAACAAATAGAGTATTTTTTTGGTTTTTTTCAGAATAAACAATTTGGTCATTATGATTCCTGCGTTAGAGCCAAACAAACTAGGCTTATTTTTCCTGAAAGTTCAATAAAGACTTCTTATTGTTTTGAATTAATTCACTATGACATATGGGGAGATTACAAGACACTTTCATTACTCGGTGCACGTTATTTTCTCATGATAGTAGATGATTTTAGTAGAGGTGTCTGGGTTTACTTCATGAAAAATAAATCTGATGTTAAGACTTGTCTTGCAATGTTTTTATCTATGATTGAAAATCAATTTGCAGTATGGGTCAATAAAATTCAAATAGATAACGGATTGGAATTTCAATCTAGCGATTTACTGAATTTATATGCAGAAAAAGGCATTATCTTGCAAACTACATGTCCCTACACTCCTTAACAAAATAGAGTTGTGAAAAGTGACACCGTTATATCCTTGAAACTCCACAAGCATTACAATTTTAGGCTACCTTACTAACTAAATTTTAGGGAGAATGTGCTTTAATTGCAGCTTATCTCATAAATCGTCTACCATCACGATTTACTGGTCATAAAACTCCCTATGAAATATTAATGGGGAAGAAACCAACTTATGAACATCTCCAAGCTTTTGGGTGTTTGGCTTACATGTATAATGCCAAACCTAGTGACAAATTTGATGAATGAGGCAAAGCATGTCTTTTCATTAGGTATCCAAATAACCAAAAGAGGTATAAACTATATGATATGAAGACTAATAAAGTTTATGTCTTGAGAAATGTTGTTTTCATTGAGGATGATTTTCTTCTTTACTATACTCATAATGATGACCTATGCTACTTAAGTCTCCCAAATGACACATGGTGGGATGATATTGATATCCTTATTACTGATGTCATGCCATTTAATGAGACCAATGGGCCTCTTTCTCATGATCCTGACTCACAATCCACTGAATCTAACATAGGTCAACAGCCTGAAACGCATTGAAGCAAGCGACAAAAGCAACTACCTCAATGATTTGAAGAGTTTGAAGTTGAACTACCATCTTCATTAACCCATTCACGTTCAACTACTCCCACAGCTTCAAGTAACTTAACTCAACACCCCTCTCCAATTTTGTTTCTTATACTAGATTTTCCCTAACACATAAAGCTTCCTTAATGGCCATTGACTGCCACAATGAGCCCAATAGTTTTGTAGAAGCAAATAAATATCTCCATTGGTGTAATGCCATGTGCAAAGAACTTAAAGATTTGATACCATAAAGAAAAGGAAATACTGATTGAAGGTAAAGTTATATTGTTCATCTCTATAATAGCTATATATACACATACATACAGTTACAAGAATCACTGTAATCTACATAAAATCAATGATGCTATATCTATCTACATTTATAATGTCTAAGCTATATCTAAGCTATTCTATAATAGAAATGTAATAATAACATAATCCTTCATAACAGAAATATAATAGTGATGTCATCCTTTACCACCGAACAAAACTATGTGTGAAAGTTTTATATTTGATAGATATATAATGAATAAAGGATAGATTTTAAATATAGCTACTATTGAAATTTTGTTTCAAAAGAATTTAGCCAATAGATGTGTTTATATAAGAAACAAGTAATACTTAAAGTATGGTTTTGTGATTTAGATATTTTGGTTTAAAAAAGTTCAATTATGTGATCACTAATGATTGGAATTAAGAATAAAGGGAGATTGTGTTTAATATAAGAACTGATAAACAAAATGAGACGAAGCAAATTATTAGGGCCTAAACTCAAATTGTGTGTTCATGGGAAGCATTCCGTAAAAGACGTGAGTAGAAAAAAGCGGCTTGATTATTATGTACTCCTTCAATTTTTTTTATAAATCATTTTACCAAACTCATTAGTATTAATGCTAAAAAGGTAAAAGACACAAAAGTATGTAAAATTTTAAATACACCTTTATATAAAAAATTTAAAAAGTGATGTCATATTATTTTTTCTCTTTCATGAAGGATAATTATAAAAATATCTTTTAAATATTATCTAAAAAGCCACACCATGAAAATGTGATTTATATATAGGACTGAAATGAGTAATTTAGTCAAAAAAAAGGCCCTGTTTGGTAGAGTTGAATACAAAAGATGGAAATGGAATTAGAGTAGGAATCTTAATAAAGAGATGTTTGGTATATATGAATTAGAATTTCCATGAATCCTAATAAAGGCTTGAATTGCATTCCTTGGTTAAAGCTATGGAATCCAGACCAATTCTATATAATTCTATTTTTTAAGACACTTTTATCCTCATAAACAAATTGAAAATATAACTTTGCCCCTATAAGTCATAAAAGCTAAAGCCCTTCACTTTAGATGGCACAATGGTATGGGTAAAGGCAAAAGGTAGTAGGAAGCCTACAAGAGAGAGAATGACAAAGATGCCTTAGGATATATAAGAATCCTAAGGCTATTGTGAAGTGGGTAGCTCAACACTTTAAAGAAAAGGTAAAAGAAGGGCCTTAGTTCAAAAATATATGATATGAAGAAGGACTTGGAGTATGACCTCAATTTAAGTGTGAGCATCCAAAAGTGTAAAAAGGCTAAGCGAATGATTATGCAAAAGATAGAAGGCAGTTTCAAGGATGAGTACTTGAAACTTAAAACTTATTATAATGAGCTTAAAACTTCAAACCCTAGATCTAATGTTAGTATAGATCTAGGTAAGGAAGCTGCAGAGAGTAGGCAGAGGGTGTTTAGCCACATGTACTCGTGCTTTAATACATCTAAGGTTAGAATTTATCTATTCTCATGTAATTTATTTATTTCTTACTATAAATATGTCCTTAGTTATTAGATTTCTTAGTTAGTCAAAACATTATAAGTTGGTTAGATGCAAGGTTATAGGCCATTTATTGGTCTAGATGGTACCTTTCTCAAAGGGAATGCTAGAGATATTTTGTTGATAGTGTGTA